AGGTTTTTTACCAAAATTAGAAAATTTGGGGGTAAATCAAAATTTATATGGAATGTGTAACATTGATCACAGCGAACAAAAATTTAAAGTGTAGTATACACACACACACGAGGGTTTATTACCACCACCATCACCACTATGTCATTCTCGTTCTACTTCTACTGCTGCTGCCACTGCTTTTAATGTGCCATTAATTATGTTTGATGTCATTATGTTAGAGAAAATTAAGTCTCTTAAAGAAATTTGCATAAACGTTCTATTTATGAATTGATTATAAAGTAATACTAATATTTGTCAGTCTATTCACCACCATGCCATATTATATTGTACTTGAATAATTAATTGCACATATATATATATATATATATAACTATTAAATAAAAACAAGTATTAAAAATATTAATATTAATATTAGAAAGTTTTACCAATAAAAATTGCACCTACCTGCCGTCTTTCTTAAATTTGTAATATAAATGATAGTCTTTATTCATAATAGAGTAAGAAGATTCATCTGTAAAATCTTTCTTAAATTGTATATAAAAAATAGTTTAATAATAGAGTAGGTAATTATGATATAAAAAATCTTCATCTCTAATAAACCTCTGAATATCCGATTTGAATTGTATTAAATGTTTCAGTAAATAGAAAGTAAACTTACATACTCATAGAATCTCTCTGAAAGTAATAATACCTTTTGAATCCTAGTGGGGCAAGACATTGTTACGTTATAGACATTGTTCCTAACAAAACTCTACAGATATTAAAGTTATCTAGATGGCCAAAGTAATAACTATCATTCTTTTTCTACAATACATATAATTACAAAGTTTATTTGAATATTATTATGTAAATAAAATTTCTTTTGCTCCGCAAAAGTTACTATTTAATTTTCCTCGCTTTTATTAAAAGTATATGGATATTAAAGTTATCTAGATGGCTAAGGTAGAAACTACATTTTATTTTTTATTTTACATATAACCAAAAGGTTTATTTGAATATTATTATGTAAATAATTTTTTTGTCAATTGAAAACGTGACTTTACATATACAAATCTATTTTAAAATTATATAGTCACACAACATAATTTCAAGATCGTCACAAAGTGATAAACATTAAGGATACCGGCTGCAATTTTTGATGATGGTTGCTACAATCTTTGCGTCATATAAAAACGATTGCAACCACTGGTTGCAACCACCCTTACAACCATTTTGTTTCCTTTTTTGGATTGCAACATGGAACACTAGTTATATTATAATTATTATTATTATTATTATTATTATTATTATGTTGTACAATTTTACTATCGTTGATATTAATTAATAAATAATAAAAAAGTTATTTTTAAAAACATCACATGATGATCATCAATTACCTTGGTTACCGGATACCTTGTTATAACGGACCATTGAGGCCAAACCAATATGTCCGTTATAACGAGGTTCGACTGTACAGAGACAATAAATATGGAGGAAAACATGAAGGAAGAGGAGCCTCCAGATAATTGGGGTGGAATGCTCTGTTTGCCAAAGTCCACATTTTGCATTGTCTCAAATGACATATCAATAATTTTAATACAGAAATCATATTTGCAAATGATTGACAACTTGAAAAGGATGTCAATAATGGTTGCACAATAGTAGGCACACCTGGCATAGGCAAAACTTTCTTTGGTCTATATTTTCTTTTCTATATTACCCACCATTACCCTGATTCTAAATTATTTGGGAAACTATTGACAGCATGTGGTATGTGTTTTTTCCAGATTTACATGTGGTAAGTGAAATTCAGAGAATGAGTTCTTGTTTTCATGACACATTATATGATGAGAAGGCTTTTTATCTTGTTGACTCAATAGTTCCCATGAATATTGTTATTGCATATACACTTTTACTTCATCACCAAGGCAGGAAAGATGGAATGAATACATTAAATGAGAAGGTGTCACTCTTATTATGCACCAATTTGGACACCAGATGAAATCTGGATACTATGGAGAGAACAATGGAAAGAGAAAACGACAGCTGATTGTGTTCAGGAATTGATGGACTGGTGGGGTCCAATTAAGGTTGCTTGCCAAAACTCATCCAGAAATCAGCAGAGTTTCGCATTTTGAGTTTCACCATTTCAACAGGATTTTTGATAAGATTTAATATAGTTTTGCCATGGTTTCAGCAATTACTAAGGAGGTTTTGCCCACAACCTTAGGTCCAATATCATGAACAATTTTTGATAAAAGAGATAATGAGCCAAACTTTGAGGAATTGACTTCTAGATATAACTTAAAATCCCTTGTAGAAAATTTGACATTTAAAAATATGGGCTTGTAATATGATGATTTTAATGGTAGAATAATTCATATCCATCCATTAAAAACAAATTTTAAAGAAAAAATTTTGAAGTTTGCTTCTGACAAAATAGCTAAAGAGCTATATCACAAATATACATGCAGCCCAAAGTATTTTGACACTGTCATAAAGGGGGCTACACATGTAGTAAAGGGGTGTTACACTTATGTTTTTAATAGTGAATGCCGTAATTAATTTCTACTTTCTACCATCAAAATTGGAATAATTTTGGCCATCAAAATCACCAAACCAATTTGGGTTGCATGTATAATCACAAACATGCGTTTAACAACCAGATAAAAATTATTCATCTAATTGAAGCTGGTGCCTCTTTTCCAGATGCTAGTTTAATACATGACAAGTGGTTTGAAGAATTGGCCCATGAACAATTACAAAAAGGTGGTCAGTTTTTTGTGCAATTCTTAGAGGTAGAGATGTGCCGTGCGCATTATGCGTCACATTATGCGATGCGCATAATAGATTAGATAAATCTGTGTTACACACCAAAAATTTTAAAAATAAATTTTTTTTGAATTTTTGTATTACATGATGTAAATAATAAATGAAAAAAATTTTTTAAATGCTGCCAGCTAATCCCATTCAATAAACTTGGTCAAGTATCAGACTTTCAGCAACCTCATGCACAATGCAAATATTGTAATTATGAAATAAATGCTGCTGTTGGTAAATATGTTGCGCATTTTAAATTTTGTTCAAGAGTAAGTATAACAACTCCAAGGGTAGTAGTGAAAATGAAAAAGGAAATCAACAATCTGATGATTTTTATGATTCTGATGTAACTTACTAAGTTAGTAAAATAATAAATTTTTATAATAAAATTTTGTATTCTAATCACAACAATAAACACAACAAACATATGTTTTATTACATCTAAGCTAAAACCATGAAGATAATTTTATGGTGGATGTTTTTTTAAAAAATCATTAATAATTTAAAAGACAAGAATATCTTTACTAGAATATTTGCCCATTTGTGAAAGATGAATGCAAAGATATTACTTGCCCAAGACCAATATATACTGGCAATGAATAGATTATTTAAAATAAAATCACCTCTATGATTTCTTACTGTCATTAAGTTTAATAAGTTTAATCTTTTGACAAATATTGTTAGCTTTTTTCCACATTTAAAGTAAAAAAGTACTAAAATAATTATATACTTAACATACCCTAAGGATATAAGTATATTAAAAGAATAAATAAAAAAAGGAACAATCAAGAAAATCATGAAAAACATCCTAAAAGAACAACAACAAGCAAATAAAGAACTAATCAATGAAATTGAAACATTGAAAAAGCAATTATCCAATAAAGAACAAGAAATTACTGAATTAAAAAATCTAGGAGAAGTAAGTGAACAAGAAGCTGAATTTAAGCAAGAAGCAATTGACCAAATTCACCAAATATTGGTAGATATGAAAAATAGATTTCCTCATTGTAGTAAGAATATTGAACAAGATTTAAGGAAATTGATTAGCAAACCATTAAGAAATCAGTTTATGAATATTTGTTTTCAACATAGTCTTATGTATGACTATAAATGGGAAGGCAAAGAAAACTTGGAAAAAATTGTTAAGAGAATTATTATAGATTATTTTGAAGACACTGAGTTAGCCACTGAATTGAAAAAAAGTTGGAAACTATGAAATCAAAGAACTCGTATTTTTTCTCAAATAGAAAAAGGAGGTAATATTTGAGGCAAGCCTGCTAAGGATGTATGTTTTTTAAAATGACTATAAAATGCAGCACAAAAAAAATTCACAAAAAAATATTAACCTAAAATTTTAATCACGTGATGATTTGCATATTATCTATCTTAATTTATATATCGAAATTTTTTTTTAAATACCGTATTCTCCCGAATATAAGCATCACCCGAATATAAGCAACAGTAAGAATTTGCAACAAAAAAACAGAAAAAATAGAAAAACAAATATAAGCAACACCTATATTTTTGAAAATTTTTTATTTGATTTCTTATTTTTATATAATAAATAAAAAAATAAGA